TCGGACATATACGATCCCTCCTGCTTGTGGGTTCCCACTGTGTCTCTGTTTTCTGTCATTTTCACTATGTCACTTTCAGAGCGTTGCATTATATGTAGGTCATGCCTTGATTTGTCCATAAGAAGAGGTGAGCTCAGGATCCTTCCCCAATACCATTTTCCTGAAATATCTTTATAGAACTTTTTGATAACGCTCCTTATTTCTGTAGGATAGGTGTTAATTTTCGTTCCTACTTTCCTAACTTTAGAAGTTTGAGAACTATTTTGTTTTTATTAGTGTAGCTGATGGTTTCTCAATTTTGTTGCTTTTTCCAAAGACCCAAGTTTTGCTTTGACTTTTTCTCTTCTCTATTCTTTATCATATTTATTTCTCCTCTAATCTTACTATTGCCTTCATTCTGCTGCCTTTGGGTTTAGATTGCTTTTCTTTTTCCAGGTCCTTAAGGCATAAAGTTAGGGTATTGATTTGAGATTTATTTTGGTATATAATTTTATATAGTTACACTTTAAAAATCCTTTTGACAGATCTCTGCTTTTGGTTGGAATGTTTAGTGCATTTATAAAGAAATTGCTGATAGGGACTTCTGTCATTTTACAACTTGTTTTCTATATGGGATATATATTTACTCAATTCTTCCATTACTACTCTGTGGTTTATATTAAATTTATCCACAGTCTAGTTGGAATAGCAGCTTACATTCAACAGTATACAAGAACTGCTCCTCTACAATTCTAGCCATACGTTTTATGAGATTATTGTCAAATTACATTTCATGCACTGTGTCTGATAAGTGTGTTGAGTCCCTCTAGCAAATTTTTCAATTATGGTTTTTCAGTTTTAGAATTGGTATTTGATTCCTTTTATAATTTCTATTTCTGCGTTGATATTTTCTATTTGATGATGCATTGTTCATTTGTTTCCTTTAGTTCCTTTGTCTATGGTTTTCTTTAGCTCTTTGAATTCATTAAAGACTTAACGTTTTTAGCAAGCGAATTTCTGCTTTAAGGACAGTGTTAACCTCTTTTCTCTTTCTTTGTCTGCTTTCTAGTTTCTTTGTTTTTCAAACTGGTCATTCTAAATATTCCAATGTAGCAACTCTGGAAATTGGATTCTGCTCCCTCTCTAGAATTAGTTTTGTTGCTTGATCTAAGTTGTGATTATTTAGTGAATTTTCAAAACTATTTTTATGAAAATTGTGTTCCTTGTCACGTGTGGTCTCTGAAGTTTGTATTTCATTAGTTTAGTGGTCAGCTAGTGGTTTGACAGAGCTGTCCTTAAGTGCCTGCAGACAAAAGAAAGAAAAAGAAATAAAAGAAACTAGTCCCCTGGGCTTTGCAGATTGTTGGGTCACGCCATCAGTACTTATCCAGGGATTTACAACTATGCTCTAGCCTTCACAAGTCTTGCTTGGGCTGGGTGTAAACATCATTAAGAAGTAAAAGCCTAGGGTCTTCTCAGATCTTTTCTGAGGACGTATACTGATCTGGGTTTTGGCATGTGGCAGCTTTTCAAAGCCTTTATTCCCCAAAGTACTTCACCCTCCAGCTTTTCCTTTCATTCAGGCCTTAGCCATGTGTCTACTGTCTGTCACAACTGTTAATTCTTGCCTTAGGCAGGAGCATGTTCATTTCCTTTTCAGTATTTTGGAGAAACACCCTCTTGTAGCAACACCCTGAGAAACTCCTGAGTTAGGTGAAACAAAGGTGAACCCCTTGCTTGAATCCTCCCAGTAGCCCGCAGGTCCAAACAAACACTATTCCTTGGGAACAGGAGCATTCTGCCTCCTGTAGAGCCAGGCCCCCATACCAGTTACAGACTGCAATTTTTCATCCTCCTCCACTACTGACCAGGGGGGAGGATGGGGAAAGACTAAGATAAATGCTATTAAGCTATCCATCTGAGTTTCAGTCATTTTTTGTTTAAGCTTTCATTTGATTTATGTTACATTATCTTCCAGACTTTGAACAATATTGACAGTTTCTGCCAGTCTTTCTAGTGTTTCTGTGGAATGGATGGGTCCTTAGAGTTCCTCATTCTGCCATTTTCATTGTCTATAAGCATGCATAATTTTTAATGGAAATAGACACACCAACATTTGGCTGAATGTGACCCAATTTTTCCTATTATAGTCTGAATGTGTGATGCTTTATTCAAACTTAGTAAATACTTACACTGTTAGTTATATGATAAAAACATTGCATATATATTTCAGACATAAGTAGGTAAAAAAAAGGAGTATAGAAGAATTCATAAATGACACAAACTCATGGATCGTATAAGGGGACTGAGGGGCTAGCATGAACACACTTGTACCCTTGTAGTGTGACTCCTATGCTCACCCTTTCCCCACTATTAGAAAAAATACTATCAGAACAATTATGTTTGACCCAATACAGGTCCTTGCTAGAGTATGAAAAGCCTCTTGTTTTAATATTTTAAATTGAATGTTAATGAGCTCTTAGGAACATTGTGTCCAAAAGTCCATTCAAATGTTTTGTTGCTAGATGCTCTAGTTAATGTTTGCCTTTGTTACCAGTACTTCTTAAAACACAATGTTTACTGTCATGTGTTTGATCTCAAAATAGTATGTCATGCCTTATTTAGAAATAACTACTCCCTTCATGTACCCTTAGGGAGGTTCTTCTATGGTTACAAGATCTAATCTCCCCAAATCACCATGCTTGCTGAATTGTTAATTGACAAGGGATATTACTTTATACACAAAAGAAAATTATAGTAAACACACAACACTATTGGGCTTACTCATGTGAATATCTGATGCAAGGAACAGTATGCTGAGCAAAATGCAACATTTTATTCATCAGATGTTGTTAGAAATTAAACTCCTTTAGATGGAATTTTCTGTTAAGATTTTTTCCTCTAACTGAAGACTGTTCAACATATAATCAGTATTTAAGGGAGACTTCAATACAGTAAATTTGGTTGAAAAGTGACATTGGAGGATACAGCATACCAGATAATTAATTTTTCAATTTAATTTGTTTGGCAAAGGTAAAGATAGCCTATATTACATATGTGATTTTCCATATGCTAAATTCTGAAAGGAAACTACATTTGAACCACTCTTTGTAGTTTTGCCTACAGCACTTTCCAGGAACAACTTGTCTTGAGGCAGTTTATTTCCCTCTAGAATCACTTCTCTAATGCAACAACAGTCTATAGAAAAGTGACAGCTCTCTAGCTGTAAAATGCTAAAAGACTGTTTTTGTTGTAGGCATATAATGACTGAGAGGAAATTATATAATAGGCTACAAAACTTTTACTAATCTGGAATAGGGAAGTTCTCCTTACCTTGGTCATTGTCTGACTTTGGTCGTGACTGAACACTATATTAAAGCTTTATAGACAAACTAAAGGTATGTTGTTTAGATTTTTTATTTTTTATTTTTTTATTCATGAGAGACAGAGGGAAGGAGGGAGAGAGAGAGAGAGAAAGAAGCAGAGGGAGAAGCAGGCACCCAAGGAGCAGGGAGCCCGATGTGGGACTTGATCCCAGGACCCTGGGATCATGACCTGAGCCGAAGGCAGACGCTTAACCATCTGAGCCACCCAGGCGCCCAAAAGGTATGTTGTTTAATAACAACTTTGAGCCTTAAGGGGACAAACAAATATAATTATAATAAAGATGTTTACATGTAAAATTTGGTCTCAGACTCCAATTGTAATACCTGTTCTGAATGAACCTTAGAAAATGTAAAAATACTCAATGGATTTACATTTATATGTCAAGTGCTACCTAGGGATAGGCATTAAACAAATGATCATGATCACTTAATGCTTTTCCATAAATGCCATTCCAGTACTAAATTTATCACACTTTGAACAGGAACTAGGGGACTTAATGTGCTTTTTAAGAATAGATTTGGGAATATGTGGTAAGGTGAACATAGTTCTGAATTATGCAATTTTCACTGAATATTCTGTTTTGACAAGATAACTTATTGCTAGCACACATATTGTCCTGGAACTAAGCTTCATATACCCCTGTAGGATTTTATATTTCCCACTCTTTACTGAATTTCATAAAGGTATGAAATAAGCAAATTCAGTAGATGTGCACTTGGTTCCTGTTGAGACTGTATACCTGAAACTCCTAACAAAGTTCTCCATGTTCTATTATTTAGATTTTAATGAAAATTAGATAACCTTAAAAAAAAAGGAAAAAAGTTTATTGAACTGACTGCATTTTTATTCTTCAGCACCACAGAAAATAAAAATTCAGGTTTCAGAGTTTGAAAGCCCAGTTAGAAGCTCTATTTTTCTATTCTTTTTGGCTTTCAGCTTCTAATACTTCTGTAAGTCAGACAAAATTTGTATTTCCTGTCTAATTTACAGGGTTGTTGTAAAGAAAAAAGATAACATATGCAAAAGTACTTTATAAACTAAAAGAGGATATACAAACATAATGATTAGACTCCTATATTTGGTTTTCAAGAAAGCTTCACTGACTCATTCATGCATAGGATAATTTTCATCTGGATTTAAGGAATGAAGTTTTGATGGCAAACTTTTTCCATATAACACGTGGGGAAAATGGCCATCATGCATCAGTTTTGCAGTTACAAGTCTAGATTCCTGGGTGACCCTTCTAAAGTTAGAGAGGAATTAATTTCTAGTTTTGGTGTGTTGCTTCTATCACCTGATGCTTTCAAGCTTATTGATTTAGTCCTGTTTGCTTTAAAATTTATGTCCTGGGAAAAACCTCCGTTTCCCAGGTTAGGCTTCCAAGTTGCAGGCACTATTCATCCAGCTCCCTGTCTCTTCATCTAATTGTGATTAATAAGAACAAAACCATCTGTAACCATACACACATCCTTTATACTGAAATGACAATGAGTATAATTTTTCAGTACGTGACATATCGTGCATATACCTTATCTCCGTATAACCTTAAGGATTCTTTAACATATATTTCATAGTTTTCCCTTACTAACATTGTGGTTTTCTTTACTAATGAGTGAACAGTTCTAACACATGAATTCATAATTACATTGTCATTTATTTCAGTCCTATAGCATATACTGAATATAATATGCTTGAAAACACTTCAGTATTTCCTTTGTTCTTTCCAGTGCTAATATGAAATTTAACCATCCACTTCTATAAATTAAATTCACTAGGAAAACACATTTCAAAAATTATACAAGAATAAGCTAGAATTATCACAACATGGAAATGAACTCAAGAATTCAAACTATATCTCAGGAACACTTTATCTTCATGGTAAACATTCACTTTATGCAAATCCCACTTGGCTTCATTTAATTAAAAAGCTGAAAAAGAAAGAAAATTATATGCTGAAAATAAGGAAAAAACAATATACTTTTTATTCACTCTAAAATAGTACATGTAAATAGCATATAAAAATGTCATAATTGTATTCATCCCATTCTAATTTTTTATCAGGGCAATTTCTCTGAACTAGTTCCTGGAATGGGGTCAACACTTGTGGTGAGAATAGGCCAGGGCTGGGAGAGGATGCTGATAAGAACTTGAACTAGCAGTGTTTAAGTTTGGGTAAAATACCCTATTTCTTTCTGTGAGCCACTTTCACTGTTGCTTAGAGCAGTAGTTAAACCAGCATTTAAACTGGTAATGTAAGTAAAAGGAACAAAAAGTGTCGGTTAAAACAAAAATTTGAAGTGGGTTGTTTCAATGTCTTAAAAAAAACTTCAATCTATAATTCATTCACTTACATAAAATAACTAAACGCTTGATGTTTTTTAATGAACTTTATAGCTGAAATATATTGTGCAACCAAAAAGAATGTATTTATGAATTGGTGTCATTAGATTCTGAGTACATAAATATCTGTACATAGATGCTTGTACAGATAGAAATTAAAGTAAAAGGGAGCTATTTTTTTTAACTTCCCTAAGCAAAGTTTTAATCCATGAACAGAAATAGAAGTTGTAAGATGGTAAGTCAATTTAAATAACATTTACTAAGTTTCTGCTTGATATTTTTACCTTTTTTCTAACACGTGGCAAGGTTTTTTTGTTTTGACAATATAACTTTGCAGGACAACCAGAGACAAACCATGTTTTAACCAAATATTAAAACAAAAATGAAATTAATTGCTGCTATAGTGGGAAAGCCATGTAGTTGGTTGGAAAACTGTTTAGTTTCGTAAGTTTAACATCAGGATATTTAAATCCTAATACCCTAAGAATGTATTTCTTTGTCTTTCTGAACCTCGGTTTCCTCATTAGTGAAAAGAATGTTTGGTTGATCTCCAGAGTTCTTTACAGTGCTCATATTTTATCAACCTAGTGACACTATGTGCTAAAAGTAAACACGTATTTAAAAATACTTAAAATGTTATATAATATATAATAAAAATATAATAAATATAATACAAAATTATAAAATAAAAAGGCTATACAAACTAAAATAAGTACTCCATTTCTGAGGAATTATTAAAGGCTAGAAACCACGTGCTGATTCTTCGATGCAATAAGACCTTGCTTCTATTTTTCAAAATAACTAGTTATGACTGCGATCCTGTAGGGGTAACCATCTTCATGAAGAAGAGTGTCAGCAGGGAAACTTCCTCAGAGCAGTAAGCAGTGGCTGCTATTCAATCCAAATAATCCCTAACACTGATGGCAGTGCACAGAGATGTGTCCTTTGTAGATGAACTCTTTGGCATTTTCTGCCTTTAATTTTAAGTTCCCCTAAAGATTAAAGCTAAGTGAAGAATGGGGGTTAATGATGAAAAGAAAACTTGATTATAAAATACTTAAAACTTAAAGTTGAAAAAATTATAACTTAAGAAAACTGAGAATTTGTAGGGTTTATTTATTTTTTAACTGGTCTAAACATTTCCGGCTGTGTGCATTAAAGATCACCTTTTATCACTGCTAAAAATACTATACCATCAAAGCAAAAACAGTAATGTGACCCTTATGATTATTTTATACTTCCTAACTTTTTAGCCCTAGAAAAGTCCAAAAGATTGTGATTTTTAGATGTTGTTAAATTCACAAAATAAAAGGATCTCTGCATCTTACTATTCAAATAAACTAAGAATCCTTAGTTACCACACTATTGGTTCACACTAGGGATTTTTCCCAAACTAAAATACCATTTTTTCTAAAAAAAAAAAAAAAGCTGTTAAAACAATCTTTTGTTTACATTTTATTATGCAATGACAAATTATATATTTTATCTTGAACGTGATCCTATTGTCTTACAATAAAGGATAAGTTTAACAGACTACCTGTTCTTTTATATTTAAAGTATTTTTCATAAAAAGTTAAAAACTTTACAAGTGTTTGTTCAAGACATTGGAAAGATCGAAGTGTGTCAAAAATGTCTGTTAAAATCTTTCTTAGAAAAGCATAAACTATTATTCTCTAGGTAATCATTCAGTATTACTATTAAACATCCAAGGTATATTCCAGTATGAATGTTTTATATGGATTTCATCACTCGAGATTAGTCCCTCATTCCTATGTGTCAGGTTCTGACATGAATTTTTTTCTTTTCACATTTACCTGTCTAGTAATTTTCATGTATAATTTAACAATTCTCCTATATTTATGTTTCTAATAGTGCTTGGAGAGTATCTTTCCTAGTAATGCTTATTGTAAAAATGTTTAAAAATACTTTTATAACATGGAAATTGTTGAATACCAAAAACCAAATAGACTCCTCTTACTTGGAATGTATTTTTCAGGGTTGTGGTGGGGTTCTTCAGAGCGGGAGCAGCTGCCTTGGGTACCACCATCAACTTCTGTCTGGACTCCCCTCTGCCCTCTGTCATGAATGACTCTCTTCACAGGTCATGGCAGTGTGTACGTGTGTTAACACTGACTACTGCAGCTAGCTTAATTTGAAGTGACTGGTCAACTGACTCAAGTGGCAACAGAAGATGGAGGCTACATGGCAAGTCTAGAGAGTTGTACACAGAAAGATTACAGAGCAGATGAGAACCAGCATGAATATGCCCCAGAAACTCCCTCTTTTTCTAGCCTGAAGGGCTGCAACTATTCCCTTCTGGTCTGTGTAATTTGATTACCACTTAAAAGTACATTAGGGATGCAGACAGGCATTGTGTATACAGAGAAGGAATGGGATGAAGATCTCCCAAAACTTGCAAGTTTGGTTCTTTCCTAATTACTCCCTCATACTAACATTCAGGATTTACATAAAAATGTGGTCCCTGACTTGCAGAGAAGTGATGTTCCAAAAGTTTGTAGCACGGTTATTATTTGAAATCCCAAGTAAGTTTTTCTAGAGAAACATTATTTAAAATGGTAATTATTTTCTCAAAGTTGAGCCAAAAAAATGTCTGTCTCAATCACTATTCAGCAAAGATTTACTGCCCATTTATTGCATACAAGAATATTGTGTATAGAAGGGTGTCGTAAGACAGGTCATGACTAAAAGTCAGGGCCATTAGGTTTCTTTCCTAAAGGAGAGTAAGACCTGGACACAATTAAGTGTAACACAGACATACTTGATATGATGGCACGTCCAAGTGTTACAGGAATTGGAAAACAAAGCAATACTCTGACTTTGAAAACAAGTTAAAAGAAGAGATAGTAGCCTAGGCTACAGGAATGAAGAAGGGTGCCCAAGAATGAAAATGACAGTGTGTTATGTTTAGTATGAGGAGTCCATACACTTTCTGTAAAAGGCCAGGAAGTGAATACACACTGTGGGCTCTAAGTCTCTGTTGAAACCACTCAACTAAGCTGTTGCAGAATGAGAAAAAAACCTCTGGATTTGGTCACTGGGTGGTCACTGGAGACCCATATTATATGTAAAGCATGTTTATTCCTTTTTTCTTCCCGTGAAAAAACTAAATAGGCATGAAATAGTGGCTTGCATTTTGTTTTTACTTACCTTAAACTAATTATCTGTTGTTGGTGTTTTTAAAAAAGTGTGTCCACAGTACTCTTAAATGAATTCTGTCCAACTGAGAGCTGGTTAAAGTCTCTGAGCTCTTCAGATGGACAGACTTTTCTTGTGTACTGTACTTCCTATTCTCCAACTGGGGAAGAGTCAGGGAGACCTAATGGTGACATGACGCTCTGTCTTACAGAAATCATTTTCGTGATTAAGGGGCAGTTGCTCAGATTTCATTCTGGTATTGAAAAGAAAGTGTGGAAGGGAGGAAAAGCCTCGCTTCTTTACTCAGAGCATGGATCGTCCACTGGTTGAATTGTTCAACTGGCCTTGCAGTTGGTGGAACTCAATGATTCACTGTTCTTAGGGTTTTCTTAACCTTTATTTTATATTCATAAATGTTCTGAGGGGGATGCAAGAGAGAAGTACATTATGGCTGTTAGCCAGCCCTCTTTAGCCTGATTCTCTGCTTTGTAATAGAAGATTACTGAACCCAGAAAAATGTTCAAGTCTGAAGTCAGCAATCCAAAAAAAGGCCTAGAGAAATTGAAGGCTTCATGAGGAGAATCTTTGGGATGGAAACCTTTCTAGATCTATGGTTACACAGGGCAACAACAGTTAAGTCTCATTACTGCTAAGGCCACTTCTCTACGCAGCCTAAACTGAGAGACTTAAGTAACAGCTTTCATAGCATGGTTATTAATAATTAGGCATGATCAGGAAGGTGGATACTATGTCTGGGGGAAAAAGAGTAATAAAGCTAGGGTGTGGAATAAGGTTAGGGGATAGGTGAAGAAGAAAAATGTCTTTTAGACCACAGGAGCTGCCTATGTTTTTACTGTTTTCAATCGGATGCTGAATGGTGGAGTTTCTATCAAAGTAAAAAAGTTGCATTTTCAAGATGGAACTCACCCTCTAGGAGCTATTTTGTGCATGTGTATTCAGACTGTGTGTTGTGAGGCTGGAGGGGTTGGAACGAGCAGTACAAAATGTAAAAGAAAAACAAAAAACAATTTTCTACAGAAATTATTTTCTTTTATATAGAGGTTCCTACTATCTATTTCTGAAATTACCAAATGCTGATTAAAAATCTTAGTATATACTTAAAAGATCTATAGTTTGTCTTATTATCTTGGAAATTAAAATTTATACCGTTCGTTAGTGGGAGAGACGTGACTACATTTGTCCTAGGCAGAATGAAATGTATTTCTGTCATTTCTTTTAGTTCTGTTTTCCTCCCTAAAGTTTTAAGAGAGAAGTAACTAAATGAAATTATATTTTGTTTGGAGTGGAGTGCATATCCATATATGGGAGTATTTTAAAAACCTACTGTTTGTCAAAATGGTTAATTCCATGGGTCAAAGTCTATTGCAGACACCTGTACCTGAGGGCTTATTTCTACAGCGAAGTACAACAGCCTAAGACTGGAATGTAGGGTCTCACCGTTAAAAGTTATCTTACATCTGTAAAACAATAGTTTGCTGCAACTTGTCTTACGTATGAGAGAAATATTATGGTCTTTATTTGAAAGATGAGGAAAACTGAGGCTCAGAGAAGATTAAAAGACTTGCCTGAGGTTATAGTTTTAAAGTGCCATGGTCCAAATCACATCTTCTCACTCAAAGTCCAGATCACTTTCCAATACACCACAGTGAAATACAACAATATGGAAAAAATAGTCCTTAAGATTCAATTTCCATTTGCAAAATATTATTACAAGATTTAGCACTGTATTCCTTATCTAGATAAGATAGGGGCCAGACAATGGTGCCTTTAGAGCATTCCAGCTCTTCTCCGAATCCTCTCTAAATCTTCGGTCCTTTATGTCATTCTTCAAAGCTGGAACTCAGCAGGAGAAAGACAATCCCAGTGAAATTCTTATCAGTGATAGGTATTGTGGGTTGATCACCACATCATTTCGATATTATTTTTCTACTTGTACAGCTCAAGATTATATTTAATATTTTCTCTACAGATGAAAGATACACATGTAAGATATAGAAATGAATGTGAGATTGCAATACTGTATACCCTGGGATTTTTTTTTTGCCTTGCTATGCTTGTTCACTATCATACTTTCCTCAAAATTCATATGAATGTCTCATTTCTGTTATTCTGTACTTTCCATTACTGAATGTCATTCCATTTTTTTGTTGTTGTTGTTATTCATTATCTCTCAAAATAGCCAAGGACATCAGGAATTAAAAGTATTTTTTTAAAGACAACAGAAGATAGTTTCTATGTCCATTATAAGCTTAATTAAAATATATTTTTATTATTTGATGCCAGCCAGCTAAGACTCAATCTGAGTTTGCAGTAAGTATCTTTATAGCTCCAGTTTCTGGAATAATTATCTTTCCACACACCACACATCCCTTTAGGTGTGTGGAATAACCTGACCACCCCACGAGGTGGAGTTGTACAATGTGGTAAGCCAGTACTCTTCTTTTCACTGTTTCTATCTTAATGGTTCCTGCTGCATTTAGATAATAAATAAAAAATGCTTTTGAGTTAAATAGTAAATTAATATGATGAGCACCTACTATGCGCACAGCACTTTGCAGATACAAAAAGGTATTTTCAAAGACTCTTCTCTAAAATATATCACGATATTACAGAATGAACATGACTTTAATATATAAAACAGTTATGTATGAATACTTAATGAACAATGTAATGAAGTAAAGTGCTGAACAAAAATGTAATGAAGATGCTGAAGCTGAAGGGCTTGTACAGGTTAAGAAGGAGGTGAAGTAAATATTTAGTGAGAACCCCACTACATTTCAGGCATTACAAAGTGATCATATAACTTATCCCCACAGAATTCTGAGACAGTGTTATACCAAGTTTACAAATGAAGAAAGAAGCTCAAAAAAGTTAAATATCCTGGCAAAAGATAGAGAAATAATATGAGACAAACCTAACAACTGAGCCTGTCTCCAACCCCGTAAAAAAAACTAAAGCATGATTTTACAAATGAAGAAAAATGAGACGCAGAACTTAGTAACTAACTCCAAGTCCCAAAGTTGGTGGAGAGGATCTAAAATTCAAACAAAGATTTGTGTGACTGTAGAGGTAGAGCTCTTAATTACAAAATTATATATTGAACTTGAACTCAGCTCTTCTGATTGTAAATATTATTTTTCCATTCTGCTACTCTATCTTGCTAAGACAACTATAGAGTTTTATAAATAGGATGCAAAGTGATAGAATAGAGAATGTTTCTTTCTTTTTTTTTTTTTTTAAACTAAAGTAGAGACCTGGGTCAGAAGTACTTATATAGAAATTTTTTGAATTTTTGTAGGTCAAAGTGCATCAGTGGGAAAAAAATGGGAAATTACCCATGTAAAGACTATCATGTATTGCTATTAGCTCTTTGCTTTTCTTTGAAAATGGGGATGCACCTAAAGTTAATCTTTAATACACAAAATGAATGCAGTGCTACCACTGGAATAAAATTTTTTTTTTGAACTATGGCTCAGATGGTAATTAGACCAAATTCTTAATAATCTTGATATTTCACTGGTAGTTTCAAGGGACTCAGGAGCCCAATTAAGTTCATCAAAAGGTTCAGGGACAATCTGTTCTTTACTCAACTGAACCATGCAAATAGAAAAGTTACTTAATCTTCAGTGTAAAGAAAATCCTACTTAGAAAAGTAAATTAAATATAAATGAGTTTGAAATATTTACATCTATCTGAATTAATAATAAGCATCTAACATTTATTGAGTAATACTATGTGTTATTTACTAATACTTGGCAATGTGTTAAGTAATTTACATCATTCTCTCATGTAATCCTTACAATAGTCAAATGAAGTAGGTAATTTTTTTTTCCATTTACAAATGAGAAAACCAGTATTTAGAAGAATGAAGTAACTTGTCCAAGGTCACACAGTAACAGATCAGGAGGTTTTTTTGTTTTTGTTTTTGTTTTTTTTTTTTAAATCAGGAATTTAAATCCAACAAGTTTGCTTATTGAAACCTAACAGAATCTGGGAGAATTCAGTGATGGCATGAAACCTATCGATACTGTAGGAAAAGCACCCTTAAGTCTAAAATGTGGGAAAGATTTAAGGAAAAAGGATAAATATTTCAAGCAGACACTTATCCCTTTAAATAGTTACAAAGATCAACAAAAATAATAGTGTGAAGTACTGAGAAAATATAATGAAGAACATAAATTTTAAGGTTTTGTGAGGCTTAAGATTAAAAGAAAAACAAAAATAAAACACATAAAGATCACCACACAGAAGAAATTAAAGGTTGTAGATTAAACGGAATTCAAAATTATGAGGAATAAAAAATTAGAACTATGTCCAGAACTATAACCTTTAAACTATCAGTAGTATTTCTTGATACAAAAGTTGTAACTCATAGAAATTTAAAAGGAAGAAATCGAAGGCCACAAAACGCTAGGGCATTACACCCAAGAAAGTACTTTGGCACTGGAGCTGAAGTCCCTGGCTACAAGCGATTTTTAAATTAGTATATGGTATTATATTCAAATGTACATTTTCACTATAGGATACCTCAACACGTTTATCCAAAGTACAGGTATTAGCTAAAACAGGCAGAAGTGGGAAGTTTTTTCAATCTTTTTAAGGGAAAAAGTGTGTTTGTCCTTGCAGTTCATCTCAAAGTCAAGGATATGGTCTTGGACAAAACTATTCTTCTTTTCTTTTGCAAACCTACTTCAGTGTATGTCTGCTGCTTAGCTCTTGGTCCCCAAGGTTAATAGTAGGGCCTCTCTGTGCAGACAGATACCCACAAATGTCTTTTCAGAAGTACTCAGGCCAGCACATGCCTTCTGGAATGTTTTGCATGTTTTCCTTTCCTATAATGATGGTGTCCTGTATCCCACTCTCTTATTCCTTATAAACTGCCTTTATCTGAGATGAGCAAGGCTGATTTTTTTTTTCTTCTTTTTTAATCAAGTACTCTAATGCTTGTGCCACAGAAACACACTTCTGGGAATGCAAACTGTTTGAGAATGCGGTGCTATGTTACGTTCATAATTGACCAAGCTTCTCAAGCAGAATAATTCCGTGGGAAGAGAGATCTTTTTCTTTTTTAGCAACATCTCACATTTCCACTTCTCAGAATTATTTCTCTCTCCCATTAGCTCTCTCACTCTTGCTTGTGCTATCATCTTTACTTTTTCTCCAGTGAACTAGCTGTAAAGATGTATATTTTCCCCCTGTGCTGTCAGGTTTTTAGGATTTAGCTCAGGATTTATCCAAGACTCTGGTAATCTCTGCAGACCTTTTAGCTACACTTGCTTTTGATGTTTATCATCTATTTATTACCACATTCACAAGACAACTGATTAACATTTCTGAGAAAAAAATAAAAGATAATTCAAAAGGAAAATGATGCAGTGCAATTAAAAAAAAAACAAGCAGGATCTACCACAACTAAGGTAACTTTAGCAAAAATCCATGTGCTAGATTAATTAAGACAAAACTTTTCAAATGTAAAATTGGTATTTTAAGGTTGCATACTGATTCCCTTTACTATATTTTGTTAGTTCTGAGACATGCATTTATTTAAATGTCATGGGAGGAAACATATATCCTATGTAAACCTGAGGAAGCCAAAGAATTTGAATGTGAATGATCGGATGGACAGACAAAACAAGAGAAAAAGAAATTTGATGAATTCCATAAGGCTAAAACCCACTGTATATATGTATATAATGAAAACTATTTCATTCTAAAATGAAACTCTACTCTGCCTATAAGGCCCCATGCCTTATAGGTCCTCTGCAAAGTCTGAGCCGAACGAATGGCAGGTGCTCAAAGACTTGCTTAACTGAGTTTACAATCACTTGGCAAATGAGTTAGCTACTTTATATTAGCCTTTAAATATACATTAACCAATGAAATTGTTTATTAGTTAAAAACATTCACATTAGTATAATGATATTACCTATAAGGATAGCCGTGGTATTTGGAACGAAATATTGAAAGTAGAAAACTGAAGAAGAAGACCACCAGGCCTAATCCCACTAGGCAAATTACTAGAAAGAGACAGAAAATGCCATTAGTGTCTAGACACATGGAATCCAAATGCGTATGTTTTATAAATGCATTCAATTAATAACAGTATACTTACATTTTAATAGTTCATGGCACATACAGGCACAACAAACCAGATAATCCAAAATACAATGTATTCATTATTTTCCACATTCTTCTCAATGAAAATGTACTATTTGGGGTATGAAAACAAAAGTGACTGATCTAAGTCTTCTGGTGCTTTTCTTCTCTTACAGAGTTCCTTCCTACAAGTACTAAAATGCCTCAGACGGATCAAAACAAAACAAAATATGTGATAAACCAAAAACAAGATTACCAGCCCCTGCCTTATAAAGCGTTGGCTATATTAGCATAGACATTTGCATTATTAGAATACTAAACAGAATTTTATTCTTTTCAGATGCCATGCAGTATTTACAAAGAAATGTCATTTTAGATTATTGGTTAGAGTATTGTCTGTTACTTAGAAATAGTCATCCTAGTGTACAAAAAGCTAGGAATAAAACCTTTGGGAGTGAAGTAATATGGATTCTGGAGAGCCAAAGGAGGGAAAATCCCCCCACAGAGTAGATAATTGTGTCAAAGTGCTGTTATTTCTTTTAACAAATGAACAGAAGGCTATTCTTAGAGTAGAATGTGCTGTGGTCTAGGTTTTCAGTATCCCTTTAATCCCAGCCAAGTTAACAAGAGGGAAAACACTTTTTTGTTTTCTTTTTCCTTTTTGTTATGGTTAGGAAGATTTTATTCTAAAGTCAAAGAGTAATAAATATATGTAATACATACAATGGAAATATGTATGCAAATATATAGAGTATATAAACAAGATTTATTAGTAAAATATATGCTTATAAAATTAAAATGCTTAAGAATCTGAGCCAATTAAATGTAGATATGTTTGGAATAAAAAAAAATGTATTTAAAGAATTGAAATGGACTTAAATCTATGCCCTAAGGAGGAAATAGAGTTAATTCTTAAGAAAAATCTAAGCATTTAAGAATAAAACACTTGTACAATACTTGTATCCCTTCATTAGTTCCAGAGAATTCTTATAAAAATACTGAAAATATCTGAAATAATTAGAAAGAAAAGAAATGGAGGCACAGGAACACAAGGAAAAGTTAGCAGTTCAATATACTTCCATAATGATGAAATACATTAAAAAAATCCTTCTAGCAGGTCTGAGACCAGGTTTAATTACAATCCTGGAAATCAAGGAGTCGATAAGTTCTCACACTGTCAAAAAATGGTCTAGGAATCTGTCAGTTTTCTTTCAGCTCTGTAGGAATATCGTTCTTTCAGTTTTGAGTATAAATTCTTGGAAGTCATAAGTGCTTAACAACATTCAACTGTAGCCTCTGTGACATTCCATTTCAGACACAGTTCATGCAGTTGAACTTCAAATGAATATTGGCAGAAGATAAAGTAAAAAGTAGGTTGCTGAATATCCCAAAATGAAAAACACCTTTTTAAAAATATGTAGACTATCCAAGTATGAGAGATACCAGGCACTGGATACAACAACAATAGCGTCCCTTCTTACAACGACCTTACTAAACCTAGAATTAATTACCTAATGCTTTATTTTACACCTTACCACATTTGGTATTTTTATCAAACACTTCATCCTTTCCTTTCTTGTTTTAAATTTTCAGAAGCTAAATAAAACACTTTTACTCCCTTTGCCACTTTGGTTGTGCTCAATGGGAAATGAGGCTCAAAGTACATGATCAAGTAAAACAATATATTTACTTGATTCTGTGCAGTGGAACAAAACAGTGCTACTCAAGTCCTTGTATATAGGGAAGGGAGCAGCAGAATTGAGTGAGTAGTAGTAAGGAGTAAGTAATTACTGAATGGACCGCTGCAGCCCATACAAGGTAACATACTTATAAGAAAATGCTGGGATGACACAGGATCATTCTGATCTGAGCAATAATAATCACAGTAGTTGTATTATATATCACAAAGGAGTAATTGTAAAATATATTTCCCATGTCTCTTTCTTTCTCTCACACTACACATGAATAAATAATTTGACAGTGCTGAGCGTTGGAGTGATATGTAGAGAAACATCTACCAAGAGGGAAGCTGGAAGTAGTGATTTTGTAAATTCAGTATCACAGATGTTGTAAGATAAAAAAAATTATGTATTTATTACTATTACTTAGTTTAATAAGACAGGATATATAATAATCACATAAGAATTTGTCTTCATAAACACTGTCAATTGCAAGAGCATTACGTTGTTCAAAAGATGTATCATAAAATGATATTCTGCACAATGCTTAACTAAAAGTAATGCATTAGATTCTTTTGTGGTTTCTTTACAATGGTGTAAAGACACCATCATGGGAAAACCAAGGACAGACTAAACTGTGTATTAAATCCAAAATATTTTAACACTTGAGACAACTATTTAGAAATCACTATGATTTATTTATATACACGTCACCATAGCTAATACTTCCAAGAAGAAAATAAGTCTGGATTTTTATTTTAAATTTAATAAATTGTCTTTCTCAGACATCTATGCTGCTCACACATAAATTCTGAGTTTAAAAAGGTTCGGGAAATGCAAAGCATACTAGGAAAAATTTTAATTATAGGTTTAATCATTAAATTACATAGGAACTTGATAATAATAATAAAAAGGTTTGTGGCAGGAAATTTTAAGGCCCTCTCTTCGTTCCTAACCTATGCTCCTAAGGGCAGATTTTTCTCCTGTGTTCTTCCCTTGTCTTGTCAAAACCTATAACTTCATAAAAATATTTTTTTCCTACAAACCCCCCCCCGCCCCCAAACAAGAGAACAGTTCCATCAAAGGATAAAACATAGTTAACTTGCTTAGAAACATAATGCTGGAAATCCATGGAGTTGTAAATCTTGGAATACCACTGGAAAAGGCAGAGAGCCTGGAAAAGACACTATGAACAGCTAACTCCTTTTCAAATGTTGATCAAAAGAAGTCTGGAGGTATTCGGAAGGTATTATATTTCAGTGTACAAAACCTATCTGAAAACTGTGAGTCCTTGAATGTAAACCTGATTCTTGTGGCATAAGGAACACAGCATTTGCCAATAAAATCTCTGAAGACTCTGGCCACAGAATTGTGTGTCTCCCTGTAGTGTGCACATTATTATGGAGACTACAGCTTCAGCAGACATGGGTCACAGCACCCCTGACAAGGGCTGACAGCTTGCCTTTACATGCATTCCCACAGAAAATCACCCAATCCCATTTTGGAAGAAATATATTTTTAAGTATTTGTACACCCACATCCAAGAAACAGAAAAAAGTAAAACAAAAACAAACTGTGACCTTTCTCATATCAGAACATTTCTTTAGAAATTTGTTTATTAAGGATTTTTATATATTTCCCATTTTACTTAAATCTTAAAACAAAACTACAAAAACAGCAACACAGACTTACTCCGTCTTTTTCCAACATCTCCCTTGGATGTTGCTGCTTCATTTAGAAGAACCATTCCCATGGTAATAGCAGCATCTATAGTAGTTGTCAAGGAAACAGCAGAAATACATGCGAATAAAATCTATTAATTTTTCTGGATCCGAACACCATGTGTTCTGTTCCAGAATGGGTAGGTTACAACTGCACACAGAGCTAACTATGATTTAACTCTCTCCATCCAGCGCAAAATTACCATTCTTCGTGTGTTGCATATGCCTTAATTTATTTTAAAAATAAATGACATGAAACTGTGAGATTTTGAAGGTCTAACTCTAAATGTTAAGTTCCACAACTTTCATTTTCTTAGCACATAGGAATTATATGGATTCCCATCATCAATTATATACCATTTCACATTACAGATGTAGATATGTACTAGTTACAGTCACAGGGACAAATTTCATCGGCAATCATAGAAAATCAGAATATATTTACTCCAGGGCTTGTGTGCATAGCTTTCTTTTTCTTGGCTTCTATTTCATGTGTTGTTTCATAGATTACCTTTTTTAAAGAAATATTTATTAAGGTCCGGTATTGTGTCACTTGGAAATTTCTGTTACCAATTACAAGTCTTACAAAAGCAACAAGCACGTTATAATAAAATGCTCTCACAAATTTAGCAGGATCTTAATTTAGTTAAATCGACATTTTAAGAATGAACACAAAATGCTGTACTTAATATGTCTGCTTGCAGGATGAATATATCCATACCATACTGAAAGACGCCAGAGATTAAGAAAATGATAGGAGCTTCACTTTTATAAGAACATTCTTTGCTATGTTATTAAAACAGGTTTGACAAGGACTATAGTTAAGATTTAAGAACTCATCAATTCTGGAACTATATTATGAATTCTGCCCAAATGACTAACAGATTGAAAAATGAAGAGAAAACTAAAATAATTTTAGCCCCCAAATCCCTCAATTTGTTCAAATTTATCATGGTCCCCTTGTATTCATTTCTACTGCTATCTAGGTACAACCAGCACCAGCAAGTCTGCTGCACAGGATATATTCTACTCCAAACAGTGCGAGCTCTGAGAATATTATTTGGCTATGTCTGTACAATTAAGTGGAGGAGGTCAGGGAAAATTCTGCAGAGTAAATATTTCCACTGTTTTCATAACCATTATATCAAAATATTGATTAATAAATAATTATAAAGTAATTGAGTCTTTCATGACCATATTATCCAACTTCAGGAAAACAATAAATACCTGACTTGTCCAGTTAGGTATTTATGCTTACAATAACCTCTCACTATACAAATGGCTTTCAGTCTATTCTATTTAGCAATCCTTTATGGAACCCTTATTGGAGAAAACCAACCAACCAACCTTGATTGGAAACCTACTGCATACAAGAGAAAAGCCTCTATCAGCACTGTGCAATACCAGCCCCTCCCACTCCCCATTCTCAAACCAAGCCTAACATACATATATACCATATACTACCAATGAACTTTTAGGGAATCATGATACATAGTTTGAGAACCATTGAAATGGGATAATTCTTGAGTTCCTTGCCTTTCAGTCATGTCTTGATGGCCTGAAAAGAGCAATGTAAGAGAACAAATATTTCATTTTACCAGTACGGTAGTCTGTGGACTTAAAGGATTCATTCTTAAAATGTTTTGGACAATCCACTGATAAAAATTCCTTTGAGCCTAGAGTCATAGGACTATGCTAATAATAAAGTGATGGAAAAAATTAATAGTTCCTATCATTCAAACTGCTCATATGTAGGGAATTTCTATTGCTTAGTGGAGCTAAGCTACTGTGATTGTATAGATCATTAATAAGGAGTTAAATTAGGATTCCCTTTCATCTTTCTCTAGTTACATCTGTCCAAAATCCAGAAATAACAAAGTTAAACCCATCACATCCATAAATAGTACGTAATAAAAGTTTATTGGAAGTGTAATAACAGTTTTTAAACTAGGGGTCCCCAAATTCAAGGACTAATATAAAACTCAGGGACATGAAGTTACAGAACGGCTTATTTTTTTTTTAAAGATTTTATTTATTTATTTGACAGAAAGAGACACACTGAGAGGGGTAACACAAGCAGGGGGAGTGGGAGAGGGAGAAGCAGGCTTCCCGCGGAGCAGGGAGCCCGATGCGGGACTCAATCCCAGGACCCTAGGATCATGACCTGAGCCGAAGGCAGACGCCTAACGACTGAGCCATCCAGGCGCCCCCAGAATGGCTTATAAAGTAAAAATGAAGAAGTTGTTGACCTTTACAGTGATTGGTTATTACAGTGGGGGGTTTCCACACAGCAGGGGGTTGGTTATAAGTGATGATCTCTCATGCCATCTTTAGGAAGATGACTTCAGTTTCTTTTATGATTATCAGACACATTTATAAGAAATATCCCAAGTTAAGTTTCACTTATACTCATGAAAAGGGCTAGATTTAGTCTTGTTCATGTGGCTTAAATGATTTTGTCTGCTAAGGGAATTCTTAAGTCTGGTTTCTATTTTGTAAGTCACCTTAACACCCTTTATTATATTCAGGTACAAATTTGAATCTACACATTTAAATAAACACATTTGATCTGAAAATTGACACAGGATTCCAGATTATTTTAACTCTAACAAAATACTTTTTGCAAGTATTCAAAATATAAATGACATTTAAGATGATTTTATGTAGATATTATTAAGTAAAATAAATATCACTCCAAATGCTTCTGAAATTCCACTTAATAAAATCATGGGGAAAATGGAACTTTCTATTCCTGGGGAATAAGTTTTACAAAATGAAATGCTTACAAATTTTAATAAAAGTATAGCCATATGTAAAAATATTTTCAGGACAAAATTTTATATATAAACACCTGTGTGCACATCTATGTGTGTATGTTATAAACACACCTATTCACAGATACAATCTCAAGAAAAAGTATGCTTTATTAGGCAAAGGAATATTGGATATTAACTATGGTTACACAAGTATAACATATCCTTATTAAAAGATCTTCATACCATTTTTGACTACTTTTCCTCTGCAAATAGTTAAGTTACAATGTGAAAACTATGTGAACAACATGCTTCTTGTTGGAACTGTTTTTGAATTTCACGCAAATTCACTTTGTGACAGAATTATAGGATTTTCATAAGCATAATCACATTTTATTGCTTTATCTTACTGATGCACAATTGTTTCCAAATGTTTGCTATTATAAATATTCCTACAAGGTTATCTGTTTACAAGTACACGTGCAATATTTTCTGTAAGATCTACACTTAGAGGCAGAGTTTTTTAGAGGGGGCATATGTGTATTATCAAATTTACTAAGGTACAGTCATATTGTATTTTTCTTATATTTCACCAATAGTTTTGCCAAACTATTGATTTTATCAAACTGATGAGTGACAATCTGTATCAATAATCTGAGCATCCTTTGATAAGTTCATTCCGCTTTTTGTTTAACCTTTTGTATATTGCTCATTTTTTTTGGCCCATTTCCCCGTAAGTCTTTTACCCATATTTGTATTTTTCTTAATTTGTATGGTGCTTCCTTTGTCTGGACGCGAATTGATTGAAGTGTTGCATTTGGATTCTTCCTTTATGTGTTGTCTTATATATATGTATGTATGTGTTTAATACTAATAGCCAACATTTATTTACCCCAACTAAGTGCAGGCAACTGAGCTAAGCTCTGTGCATGGATTTCTCTCATTAAGCCTTCTAACAGTGCTGTGAGGTGGGTACTGTTTTAGTCTTAGTTATAAATTGGGATAATGAAAATTAGAGATTAATAACTGGCACAAGGTGTTCAGTAGTGCTGGAGCCAGAATTCAAACCAAGGCTATCTGAACCAGTGCCCATCTGCTCTTAACTACAATGCAAGAGAAGTCTCCTCTCCTTTTTTCTATTTATATATTGTGTAAATTTAAGGAGTACAACATATTAATTTGATATATATTGTAATTTGATTGCCATTGTAGTGATAATTATCACCTCTATCATTACATAATTATCCTTTTTTAAAGGTTGAAATAAGTTCTAGACTCTTAACAAATTTGATTATGGTACAATATTGTTGTCTATATTCATTTCACTGTGCATTAAATCTCTATGGTTTATTTGCTAACTTTATACCCTTAACTGTCTTATCACCCTTCCTGCCATCCTGTGGTAACCACCATTTTACTGTTTTGACAAGTTTGGCTTTTTAAAATTCTGCATATAAGTGATATCATACAGTAGTTGTCTTTCTTTGACTGATCTCACTTAGCACAATGTGCTCAAATTCCATCCATATTGTTGCAAACAGCAAGACATCCTACTTTTTCATAGCTGAACAATATTTGTGCATCATTTTTTTTTTAACCCTTCATTTATCAACAGACACTTAGGTTGTATCCATATCTGGCTATTCTAAATAAGGCTGCAGTAAACACAGAGGTGCATGTATGTATCTAAACTAGTGGTTTTGGACACATACCCAGAAGTGCAGTTGCTGTATTATATGGTAGTTTTATTTTTAATTTTTGAGGAAACTCCATACTGTTTTTCCATAGTGGCTGCACCAATTTACATTCCCATCAACAGAGCACAAGGATTCTCTTTTCTCTCCAGCCTCACCAACATTTATTTCTTATCTTTTTGATAACAGGCTTAAATTATAACAGAGTGAGGTGATACCTCATGGTGGTGTTGATTTGCATTTCCCTGATGATTAGTGATGTTGAGCATCTTTTAATGTGTCTGTTGGCATTTGCATGTCTTCTTTGGAAAAATGGCTATTTAATTCCTCTGCCCATTTTTAAATCAGGTTGTGTTTTTGTAATTGAGTTGCATGAGTTCTTAATATATTTTGGATATTAACCCCTTATCTGATATATGGGGTTTGCAAAAATTTTCTTGCATTCTGTAGGTTGCCTTTTCATACTGTTGTTTCTTTGGCTTTGCAGAGCCTTTAAATCTGGTGTAGTTCCATTTTTTTCTATTGTTGTCATGTTTTTGGTGACATATCCAAAAAATCATTGCCATCAAGACCAGCGTCAATGAGCTTCTTCCCTATGT